GCTGAAAATTGGTTTAATGTGACCCCTGCGCAGGATCAAAAAAATTGCTCAAACTAGTGAAAAATCGAGTAAAAATCACCTGAAAATAGCCTAAAATGGCCCGAAATAGCAATAAATCGACTGAAAATGGCCTGAAATAGTGAGAAATTGGCTGAAAAAGGCCTGAAAACGAGCCTAAAAGGCCTAAAATTGCCCAAAAAATGAAACCAAGTTTTATTTGGGGGTGGCCTAACTTTTGCAAGTTGGGGTTTTCTAGGCCACCATGTTACAATGACTTAGAAATGACCTAAAATGCTCCTGGTATGTTTTCTAAGCCATTTTAGTGTGGTGGCCTAGAAAACCTCCAAACTTGCAAAAGTTCGGCCACCGCGCCAAAATGACACTTTTTGGCCATTTTAGGGCCGTTTTTTCACTATTTTCAGTAATTTTTCGCCTGGTTTAGCTCCGCCCATTTTGATCCAAGGTCTAATTAAATCAAAGTGGGCGGAGCCTAGGCGTGTGTTTGGGCTCATTTTGGAGCTCCCAACGAGCTAAAAATGACGATTGGAATGGAAAAATCTGGAAAAAAACTCGTTTAAAATTACCCATTTTTGGCTGAAAATGAGATAGGCTCCGCCCACTTTGATCCAAAACCCCCAAAATGGGTCATTTTAAGCCGTTTTTTTTTCACCATTTTCAATCATTTTTTGCCTGATTTATTGATTTTTTAAATCGATTTTTCCATCCATTCCAGACACAAGCACAAGAAGGCCGAAGACCTAAAAGCGAACCCGAAATGGTTGCCCACCGAGAAACGGGCGATGATCAGCTACGCGAATTCGATTCTACACAAATCATCGGTGCTCGAGGAGAATATCGTGATTGATGAGCGCAAGAATATCAAGTGTGCCGGATGCAAATGCCAACTGGGAAAAGTGCAAAAAAGTGGGTGAAAATTGGCTGAAAACGACCCGAAAAGGCTTAAAATCGGCCAAAAATAAGCTGAAAATGACTAAAATCGCCGTTTATAGCCTGATTTGGGTCTCGAAAAAAATCGTCGAAAACAGCCGAAAATAGCCCAAAAACCCCGAAAAATGCCCAAAAAACGGCTTAAAATGACCCATTTTGGGGTGTTTTGGATCAAAGTGGGCGGAGCCTATCTCATTTTCAGCCAAAAATGGGTCATTTTAAACGAGTTTTTTTTTCAGATTTTTCCATTCCAATCCTCGTCATTTCTAGCTCGTTGGGAGCTCCAAAATGAGCCCAAACACACGCCTAGGCTCCGCCCACTTTGATTTATTGGAACTTGGATCAAAGTGGGCGGAGCTTAGCGGAGAACATGCTGAAAATGGCTCGTTTTTGGAGTTTTTTAAATTTGGATTTTTGATTTATATATGTATGAAATTTCGGAAACCCAAGGCTCCGCCCACGTTGATTTTTTCTGAATTTTAGGATCAAAGTGGGCGGGGCTTAGCGGCAAAACAACTAAAAAATGGGCCATTTTCAGCCAAATTTTTGGATTTTTTCAGCGATTTTATTCAATAAATCAATATTCCAGACCATCCGGACATCTACCAATTCAATCAAATCGCCACCCTGATGACGGGCGGACCCAAAAAGACGCCGTTCGTCGATAAAATCAATCCCACCCAATTGTCGATTTATATGGCGCAGCTAATTTTGAACGGATGCGAGACGCAGACATCGATGAAGCTGGTCATCAGGTGAGAAATCCGAGAAAATTTGGCTGAAAATCGATGGAAATTGGCTGAAAACGAGCTAAGCCCCGCCCCTTTTGATCTCAGACCCCATAAAGTTCAAAATGGGCGGAGCCCTATGCGTGTTTGGGCTCATTTTGAAGCTTTCGACGTGCTGAAAATGACTATTACAGTGAGAAAAGCTGAAAATTTGACTGAAAATGAGCTAAGCCCCGCCCACTTTGATCTACATCAGGATTCAAAATGGCGATTTCTAGGCCATTTTTGGTCATTTTCAAGCGATTTTCAAGTGATTTTCAAGACTTTTCATCTAGAAATATTAGATAAAATTTTCCAGATCCCTGGACAAAGTGCCATATATGCTCGTCTGGCTTCTGGACTCGTATGTGGTGATTGCGAATGGAATCCTAGAGGGATTACGGTCGGAAGACGACGAAGGAGCCATTCTGACCCCATTTCCAGCGATAAAACTGCTCTACAAGGTGTTCAACAATCAAACGGCCGCCTCGGATCCGCGTGCGAATGGAGAGGACACGTCGGTGGGACTGATCGATTTGCCGCTTCCGTGCTGTGAAGTATTGATTGAGCTCCTGCTGCGCAGCTCGTTGAGAAGCCCACCGGCGTGTCGTGCCGTCGGACAATTCTTCGTTGGCTATTTGCAGATTGATGAGAGGATCTAAAAGCGATTTGGATCATTCAAATTTGAATTTCCCGCCCCCTTTTTTGACCCTGAGAATTTTCGAATCCCAAAAATTTGAATTTCCCGCCCCCTTTTTCACTTATTGTTGATCCAGAAATTTCCAAAAAAAAAATCGAAAAAATTGTTTTTTTTGGGTTACTGTAATTTTTGAAAATGCCCTTTTTTGTACAAAAAATTACACTGCTTTTGTCCCTCATTTTTTTTGCAATTTTCCTACAGTAATCCCCCATTTTTTGTTAGATGTGCAAGTTTTTTTTAAAATAATGGATTACTGTACCTCCTAAGAAATGTTTTTTGCTGGTTTTTTGAACGTTTCCTCGGCGCATTTTGGTTGAAAATTTGGGTTTTTCTGCGAATTCAAAAATTTAAGAAATCCAAAAATTTCGAAAATCCGAAATTCCAACAATTCCAGAATATCGAAAATTGGTAGTCCTTTTGACCACAGTAATCCCTATTTTTGATGGATTACTGTACCTGTGATTTTTTAAAAAATTTCCTCGTTAAAATTAATTTTTTTTGTTCATTCTTAACATATTATCGCTCATTTTCCCTGTTTTTTTTTGAATATTTTCTCTTGGTGCATTGAAAAAAAAGTTCAATATTCTAGAATTCTTAAATTGTAATCTTCTGAAATTCAGAAAATTTTGAAATTTAGAGAACCGAAATTCCTAAAATATCAGAATATCACAATTTCGGAAAATTCTGAATTTCAGGACATTTTTTATAATTTCAGTATTTCTAAATTTCGGGATGTTCTCGAAAAGTCTGAAATTCCGAAAATCGGAGATTTGGGGATTTAGAAAATCTTTAAAAATTGAAAAAATTCGAAATTCCAAAAATTCAGAAAAAAAAGGACCAAAAAAGAGAATTGGATCTATGAATATATTCAAACCATAATATAATAATGAAAAAAATCGAATTTCAGTGTGTGTGTGGTAGGGGTGGCAGAGAAGATCATATATATATATATATATCGCACATAGTACATGTATTTTTGTGTAAAATGAGGGGGCGGAGCTTCGAAAATTCCAGAAATTTTTTAGAGGGACAAATTGAAAGGGGGCGTGGCCTATTTAAAAGTGGGCGGAGCCTAACGGAGGAGGAATAGGTTGAGGTTAAATTGAAAGAAAATGTGGGCGGAGCCTCAAGGACAAATGAGAGGAGGTTAAAGAGAAATGGGCGGAGCCTAAAATTATTGCGTAGGCGGTGGCTGAGCTCCTCCTCCTCCTCCAGATGGTCCCTGCTGATGTCCTTGTCCTGATCCTCCAGGTCCTCCCTGATAGTGCTGAGGAGGCGGAGCTTGCTGAGAAGGGGGCGGAGCCTGTTGATACTGTACTCTCTGCATATGAAGCACGGGCGGTCCATTCTGCATGCCTTGGGGTGGAGCAACAACCACTTGAGCCACCTGCGGCGCTCCAGGCGCGTTTCCATCGACTCGTTGCATGGTGCGTCCCACCAACTGCCGTCGGATCGCTGGGACTCCGCCCATTTGGGGTCCACCGGCTCCTGGAGCTCCACGCATGTTCTGCGGTTGCACCATCACGTTGATTCGCTGCTGTTGAGGGCCGCCGTTGGGTCCTTGCGGTCCTCCGGGTGGTCCACCAGCGTACGCTCCTCGTCTGGAAAGACTGCAAATATTGATAGTGGGGGGTACTGTAACACGGGGAAGAGGGGGGAGGGACGGACGTGGCCTAGAAAAACCCAAATTTCTAGGCCATCAGATCTGGTTTTGGCGATTTTAGAGCAGTTTTTTGGCGTGGCCTGGAAACCCAAATTCGAGGTTTTCACTATACATTTATGAATACAGTGGCCTAGAAATTCAATTTTTAGGGGGTTTCTAGGGCACTAAAACGGTGGCCTAGAAACCCAAAATTTCTAGGCCATCATGTATTTTCTAGGCCACTATGAATATAGGAATAAAGTGGCCTAGAAAATCCCCAACTTGCAAAAGTTAGGCCATCACGCTAAATAGGCCTAGAAATGTCCTAGAAA